TTCCCAAGGGTATTAACACGTAAGTGAAGATTGGAATATATAAGAGAATGATAAAAAAGTATCGGTACTGTTCTATGTTAATGGAGCTCTCTAATGAAGCTGTGGCAAAGACCGAGTTTCAACTGTGTGGCGCGTGCGCGCTATATTTTAGCGTTCTCGATCATATCCGTAGTTTCTTGCGGTCCTTGGGAGGCAAGTGTGTAGAGTGTGGTCGCCTGATCATACTACATAGGTTCCATCAGTAACCATAGATTGTGCAGCAGTTTTTGGCCCAGTAATACATTCCCCTAGCTCAACAACTACAATACTTCCCAAATCCCACTAATTGAAAATTGTTTCTCTTTGCAAAAATCCAATCCCATTTGAAAGGGACAATATTTCAAGACGTTGAAAAATTCAAAGAGAATGCGATGAGACAGCCGATCGCTATTCTCAAAATGTAGTTCCCGTAATGCTTCTATTAATAGAAATGACGTTGATTTCAGAAGCGGACTACATCGAAGGAGAATAGAAGATGAATTAATTTGTGTTATAGTTTTCTTTTTATAACATCATTCTCGATAATTTTTAAAATACCACGTATATGTATATACTTAATAATTTCTATCTATGTCAGTATTTTCATCTATCTCAGTCTGTTTATATCCATGTATGACAGTCTGTTTCAGTCTATCTATCTATCTATCTATCTATCTATCTATCTATCTATCTATCTATCGCAGTCTATATCTATGTATCCATGTATGAGAGTCTGTTTCAATCTCTCTTTCTCTGTCTATCTATCTATCTATATATCGCAATGTGCTTATTATTCGTCTATCTATCTATCTATCTATCTATCTATCTATCTATGTCTGTTTATATCTATCTATCTATCTCAGTTTATTCAGTATCTATCGATATATATCAGTCTTTTCATCTATCTACCTACCAAGCTAGCTAGCGCAGTGTGCTTATTATCTGTCTGTCTATCTATCTATCTCTGTCTGTTTATATCTATCTATCTATCTATCTATCTATCTATCTATCTATCTATCGCAGAGTGCTTATTATCTATCTATCTATCTATCTATCTATCTATCTATCTATCTATTAAATTCTGTTCCTTATCTATCTATCTATCTATTGCTGTTAATTATCTATTTATCTGTCTATTACATTATGTTCTGTATCGATCTTTCTCTCTCTCTCTGTCACTCTGTCTCTATGTATCTATCTATCTATCTATCTATCTATCTATCTGTCTATCTATCTATCTATCTATCTATCCATGTCTGTTCTTTATCTATCTATGTCAGTCTTTTCATTATCTCTCTATCTATCTAAGACTTACTGTGAATATTTTTATATTTATCTATCAGATTCCTTCTGCATTTTACTATCCAGCAACCTTTAGCATAAATGCGTATATCTGTAAATATGTAGGTTTTCCGTTATATTCTCTTTAAGAGAAAAGAAAAACGGAAAAAAAAATCTCTGAAATACCGAGAAAAACCCTCGCGCACAAAAATAATTAGCGGTGTTTGGCCTTTGTAAGTAGTTCATCCCTCGAAGAATTCCTGCTGATTTAAGAATTAATTAATCGCCCAAATAATTGCGAAATGCTATCGGCGCCTTGAGTGTGTGTGTGTTTTTGTTCTTGTCAGTAGGTCGCCATTATTCTTTTCAACAAATTCTTTGCTTTGTGAGGCAAAGTGAATTCACCCTGGCTGTTTCTTGCGATAGTTCTGTTTCGCGGAGAAATTTTCCAATTTCCTTAGAGAACTGTTCGGTGACAGAATATAAGCGTAACCGCAAAAGGAAAAAAAAAACCAAAAACATCGGGAACAAAAAAAAGGAAGAAAAGGGTAAGGAAAAGAAGAAAAGCTAGCTCGCCACCCCAAATGATACTGTAGCAACGGCAGGGAAAATCTGTGTTGATACCGTGAGGAAAGGTAAAAAAGGATGCTGGTTCAAGATTGGAAATGGGGTGGGGATGATACACGGGTAACTGGAATGGAAGGCTCAGAGAGTTCTGAAAGATATTTATATGAGTCTCATGAAAAAAAAAAGGGGGGGAGACAAATGTAGAGATTAAATCAGCGTGGACATCGGTCACAATTTAACAGTAGTACAGTTTCTCTCTCTATTTCTCTATATGTCTATCTATCCATATTAATTTGCACATATCTATCTATCTAAATTCCGTTTGTATCGAGCTATGTATCTATCAACATACCTACCTATTTATCTAGCCTAGCCGGTTTCTACATATTTATCTAAGCAAGTTTGTATCAATCAATCTGTTCATATCTATCTATCTATCTATCTATCTATCTATCTATCTATCTATCTATCTATCTATCTTAGTCCATCCATCTATCTATGTCTGTTCATATCTATCTATTTATCTTTCTATTTATTTATCTATCTTAGTCCAATTTTCTATGTCTGTTTATATCTATCTATCTATCTATCTATCTACCTATCTATCTATCTATCTATCTATCTATCTATCTCAGTCTGTTTTTAAAAATGCCTCTCTATCTCAGTATATATATATATATATATATATATATATATATATATATATAGATAGATAGATAGATAGATAGATAAATAGATAGATAGATAGATTTTTGTGTAGATAAATCGAATATCTATACAACCGTAAATACCCGCGTTAGCGTGCATATACAGTTAAGCGAATAAATATTTACTGAATTTAATATATGGTGTAAACAAAATAGGTTAGATCAATCAGGTTAGACAGAGCTAAAACGGATATATTAATAAATAATACATTTACGTACGTTAGTAGTTCTACCATATATATATATATATATATATATATATATATATATATATATATATATATATATATATATATATATATATATATATATATATATATATATATATATATATATATATATATGTGTTCTAAGTCTGCTCCTGTCTATATATATTGTTATAAAATGACAATTAGAAAAGAATCTTAAATTTTGCCGACTCCTTTTTTTCCGACGTTTTCACAGAATTCCTCTCGGAATTTAACTCTCTCTCTATATATATATATATATATCAGTCCTTTCATATCTATCTATCTATCAATCAAGTTCTGCGTATATCTATCTATCTGTCTGTTCATAATTTTATTGAAATATATCTCTGAGCTTGACCACACACACAGTCTTAGACATATATATGTATGTATCTGTACATGAGTGCCTGTATATATATATATATATATATATATATATACACATGTGTCCATATATATGTCTGTCTGTTGAGACCTATCTATTACAATTTGCGTCAATCTGTAATGCAATAAAGAGGTATCTCAAAGTTTGAATACACACATTCTTATATATATATATATATATATATATATATATATGTGTGTGTGTGTGTGTGTGTGTGTGTGTGTGTATCTGTGTGTGTTCACGCTCGTTTGTTTTTGTGTGTATCTGTGTGTTTATTTGTTTGTATGATAAATAAGTGTATCTGTAGCGAAAGAGATGATGATGAGACAAATTGGGAGATCTATAAACGACGCCTTTCATCGACGTCTGTTGATCTCAGCTTCTTCCGTTCATATTGAAAGACAAAACTGTGTGGAAGGAAAACCTGACAATTAAAAACCAAAATGTGTCTTATTTTGTGTTGTGAAGGGGACTATTTCTCTGCAAGTTTGGACTCGGCATCGGACGAAAGACATAAATATACTCCCACATCAAGAGGAGTAACAGCCTTTTGCTGAGTCAGTTCGCTGCCAGGCATTCGGGCAGAGAGGAACTCAGACAAGGCTATGCCTACTGGTAGAACCTCGTATGGGGAGGTAGACAAACCCGATCCAGTGCATGCGGGGTCTATACGGATTTTTTTTTTTTTTTTTGTCCGAGTCTACAGGCTTGGAAATGTCCCACATAAAAATCGGCGCCGGGCCATATCCTCTCTTTTGTGGTGGCTTTCATAACTAACAGTCATTAACGGCTAACCATTTTTTCCATAGTTTCTATTCGACATTGCTTCCTTCTACTAAATGGTAATAAACTTGTTAAACCAATTCCGAATTTTTTTTTTTTTTTTGATAACTCAATTACAAGAGTTTGACGAGACTAAGATCAAGGTTTTATAGGAAAGATTAAAAACAAGTTAACGACGAAAAGAACTCGAAAATCACACCTTAAGAAAAGGTACAGTATTTTGTTTGTTTTTCTTACGACTTGAAAAAATTTTTTTTCTCTCAGTATGGAGGAATTTAAAACAGTTATGCTGGAACCCTTAAAACAGAAACAACAAAAAGAAGCATGAAACAAATGCAGGAAATTTGTTTAAACATACAACAGCAGCAAGAATTCCAGAAAGAACAATGTAAAGAAATGGAATTTTTTTTAAAATGTCGGATAACGAAGGATTATAATACAAAATTCTGTTTGTGCATTCAACTATAATCTTGACGGAAAAGTAACTTTTTCCTCGTCCTATAGATATTATGAGGACATATTTGGACGAGATTGTCTTGGATGGACAGATTAAAGAATGAACTATTACTTACTGCTACCAAGATTAGTGTTGTGGTAGGATCCACCTAATTTGCATAGTGGTGTACCGACCATATAAATATGGTTGGTACCGGGAAGAGAGGGAGGAATCAAGAGATTCACTCTCAGTCGAACTCTCTGCATTTTGCAGTGAGGGACCCGGATGAGGCTTTGCCGAGAGGCAGGGTTTCGTCCGGGGTGGTAGACAGGCCTTGAACCCGTGTAGGCGGGTTCAGAAAGGCCATATTTTTGGCCGAGCTTACTGGCTCGGACATACCCACTTTAAACCGGCCTTGTGCCACATTTTATCCTCGTGGGTGGATAGATAAATACAGGAATCAAGAGATTCAACCAGAGACTCTGCCCGACTCAATCAACACATTCTCCAGGAACGGTCTTACCAGGAATATACAAAAGACTATATGTAAATATTGTGTACACTTTCTTGTTTCAATACATTTTGTTCTAAGTACATTTTGTGTTGCATTATTATTCCATGCATTAGTCAAGTTTCAACACATAGGAACTGTAGAATATGAGAAATATGCAAATTGCAAAGTTCCTAAGAAACCTGCGGATAGTGATTTCCCAAGCGTAGCTTAGATGTGACACAAGGCCGAATGTATGAGGCACCTAGTGAGGATCGAATTCACTAATCAGTCGTAATTGTTCTAGCGAGCCAAGCTTGCTAACCATTACACCCCCGCGAGGTGCCCAAGGGAACCTGCGGATATCACATTTGAAGAGACAATTCTGTTATTAGAAGAAAATATTTAGTGATAAAATCTCCCTTTTTTTAACACCCTTTGGAATTTAGTAAAAAAGAAGCAAGCAGACTAATTAGTCAAATCGTCAATGCGAGAAATTTAAATTTAGTGCATTAAGCACTGTCATGTTTAAATGCTTAATTTTATCCAGAGCCTTACGGCGAATAAAGACGTTAAAATTCGCGCCCGATTTCTAGCAAGACTTAAACAAGACAAGACTTAACCTTCGACAAAGTAGCTGATAAATGTAATAGAAAAGACAATCTCAGACAGGATACTCAAAGAACTGAAGACTAAGAAAACTTCTAGATTCACGCAGTACGTCAAGAAACAAATAAGAACGGAGAGAGAAATTTTGAAAAATCTAACACTTGCTGTAGTAGAACAGATAAGAAAACATTTGTTAAGCCAAATCCCTGTTATGTGGAAAATTATAGTCTTATTAGGTTGGTGCAAAAATAATGACGTAAGAATGTCGTTTTTTGACGTAGAAAAGTACGTCAAAAAACGACATTATTACGTCATTATTTTTGCACCAACCTAATAGAAAAACTGTCTATATAACGACAAACATTGTTTTAAGTCTGTGTGTGTTGGTGGGGGGGAGAGAAGGGACATATAAAGTCAGACTGCAAATCAAATCAAAGAAAAATAAGGAAATTTAGAAATATAGTGTATACGAATATGGATCCGGGTCCGATCCCCGGCACAAATGAACATAAAAGGAAATATGTTAATACTAAAATTAATGGAAAACTTGTAAAGTTTTAACTCGATCCAGGGTCGGACATAAAAATATTAAATGAATCAACAAACAAGTTGTCGAAAAGATCGCCTTACCAGGAACAACCCATATATTGAGTTAAGTGCTATAAATTAAATGAAATTTCTCCTTAAGCGGTTAAAGACCATGGTTTGAACCCGACTCTACAGGATATAAAGCAGGAAACGTAACATATACTAACAACAATAACGACAACAACAACAATAATAATAATAATAATAATAAAGACCACAAACAAAAAAAAGTGCCTCCTTATTGATATGGCAGTCTCTGCAGACTGCCATGTATCTTTGAGGATCTTCAAAAAGCTGTCAGAAAAATACGTAAAAGGACCTTGAAATCGAAATCTCAAAAATGTGGCATATGGGAACATCAACAATCCCGGTTGTAGTTGGAGCCCCTAGGATTAGTTGGAAAAATTGCAGTAGACTAATTGAAGGGATTCCTGGAAGTCTATGCCTCAAAGAGATACAAAAAATTGTTCTTACAAGTACAGCCCACACTTTACGAAGGGCTTTGTCTATGTAGTTTTTTTTGTTTTTTTTTTTTGTCAGTGGAAAGTGTCATGATGCCATTTCTAACCTTAGGTCCCTGGGCGGAACCCGGAAAGAAATGTGTAAACGCCAGAAATCAAAGGAAATAATAATAATAATAATAATAATAATAATAATAATAATAATAATAATAATAAAAACCTTTATGGTGACTTTTAAAATCAAATTAGATATGAAGAAGTTTTTTGGCGCGAGATTATCTTTAACGTTAGTTGCTACGGATGCCTCTACGGATCAAAATAATATTACTGATCATTCCCACCCAAAAGCGTTTTGCTTTTTTAATAAATATAAGTACAGCGATAAAACAATAAAGTATTTAATTGATTTCTTTTTCCCATTGTCCCAGTTTTGCAATAGATCTTCGCTTTATTTCTGTTTTAACCTGCAAATGTTTGACAGCGCCGTACGTTTTATAACCTGTGGCGTTATTCAGGATTGAGCTGATGATCCTCCACTTGAAAATCATTATACTGTATGTCGCAGTACCAGGAGGGTGGTTCTTGAGAATAGTTCAGAAGTTTACTTGTGTCGTGTTTTAAATACGACGCTGGAGCTGGGGTATAGACAAAAGATAATATAATTGAAAAAAAATACTAAATAGATTTTGTTTTTATATAAAATTATTGTTAATTGAAGAAACAGTAATAAGTGAAGAAAGAAAGAAAGAAAGAAAGAAAGAAAGAAAGAAAGAGAGAACGTAAAAACTAAGAAATAACAAATGATATAAAAGGAAAGAAAGAAGAACTGAGAAAGAAGGTGAAAAAGAGAAAAAAGAAATACGTGGACCAAGAGATTACAATGTTAAAAAGAAAGCAAAAACAGAAAATAGAAAGAAAAAAGGAACAAAAGAAGTTCAGCGTCCA